TAAATTTTAATTCCAAACTTTTTATCTTATAACCAAAACTTGTTATTTTTAAATGTATTATTATTATCACTTGAAACAAAGTGTGTTGTTATAAAAAAAACGTGTTGTTAAATTTTAATCCCAAACTCGTTATTTTATAATCAGAACTTGTTATTTTTAAATGTATTGTTGTTATTACCTGCAACAAAATTTATTGTTATAAAAAAACATATTGTTAAATTTTTATTCCAGACGTGTTATTTTACAATCAGAACTTGTTATTTCCAAATGGATTGTTGTTATCATCTGGAACAAGAGTAAATGAGTTAATTTATTTTCTTTTTGCATCATAATGCTAACAAAAATTTGTTGGCTCAATGGTCATTCCTTATTTTGGGAAGCATTAGATTGGGGGATCAAATCCCCCCAACCTCACTTCCCTCACTATTTAAAAAAAACAGTTGCAAAAAAAAAAAAAACAAAAGAAGGCCACCGGAAGCGGCCGCCGACGCCGGAGCTCCGGCGGCCGGACCCCGATGTCCGGCCATCGGCAGTGGCCGGAAGCGGCCGCCGGAGATGAGTCAGTGGCTTTCTTTTAAAAAAAAAAATTAAAGAAGGGTATTTTGGTAATTTGGCCATGATTTCATAATTACAATTTGAGACCGGGTCCTTGTGAGTAATTTCACTTATTCAGGTGACCTATCTGTTATTTTGCATATTGGAGGGTCTTTATTTGTGATTCTCTCTATTGTTTTTACACTTTTTTTTTTTTTTTTTATAATTGGGCTTTCTACATAATTTTCTTTTTAGTGCTTTTATCTTCAAAAGCTCAATGAAAAGAAAACATTACAACATAAAAAAGATTCAAATCCAAAATTAAAGCGGTTTGTAAAAATATTCGAACGGGACGTTCTGGCTCGTCCTGTTCTTGTTCTGGTCCCATCGGAACAGGGATAGCCTCAAGAGGACAGGGATAGAAACCCTGTCCTGTGAACAAACCTAGATGGGACTCAGAATATCAATAATAAACAGTCCAGATATCAAAATAATCATATTTGCATCATATAACATATAGATCACATATGTGAGTGAGTACTAAAAATCTAATCGGCCAATAATTCAGTCAAGATAATGAGTTAAAGGTCAACAGGTTAAATTTAGTTAAACTAATAATAATTAAAATAATATAATTTAATTAAAAATTATAAATATATTTGTATTTTAATTATGAAAAAATAATATTCAATATTTTAATGGATACCCAAATTAAAAGGTGTTTTTTATATGTTTATAATTTTTTTTCTTTTCATTTTATTAGTTTCTTTTTATTCCCTTTTTTATTTTTTTATTACTTCTCTATTTTTTGAGTTAGAACACGTCCAACATCTTTTAAATATTTTGTAAAATATATCCTATATTCTAAAGTATTGTGGTGTATCGAACACCCTTATTTCAGGTATATCTAAAACAAAAAGAACCTGAAATTTTTTTATGATAATTAATATACATGTATTTAACATATTTTTATATTTAAAAGCATAATTTTTTTTGAAAAAAAAAAGATTAATATTAAAAGAATAAAATTACACTATAAACTATTGATGTGGTTCTTAATATAAGATCTATTTAACTAATTTAATTATATTAAAAAAGTTAGGTAAGTTAGTTAATTGTAAGAAAAGTGACACATTTTTTCTAACACACCATAATTATCTTTCTTAATACTCCCTCTTCCTCTTTTACATGATTATGGTTGAGGGAATATCTATATAGATAATTTAGAAAAAACTGATAAATATAAAAAATAATTCTTATATTTAGAACTAAAACCAACTCAAAAATAAGGTTAAGAAAATATCTATAAGAGTATTTTAAAACTTTGGATTCAAATGAAAAATATATTTCGCTCCGGTTCATCACATCAATTCTTTTCTCTTTCTGCTGTGTCACATGCAATAAGCAATGGGATTGGCGGGATTGACAAAGCTTTAATCTCTCTCCTCCATTAAGTCTACCGCCGCTTCCTCGCAATACCTCCTCAGAGTTTCGAACTCGCAACGCGACTTCAGGCTTTCTCCCGTCAAGAGAGGAGCAACCTACCAGCAAGTCTCAACTTAGTCACAAGCTAGAAGGAGTCTTTTGCACTTTCAGCAGCCTCCATGACTTTTCCTTGAGCAGATCTAATCGGTCCGTCTTCTAATAATTGTGATTTTGCATCTTTAGTTTCGGTTGATTGTACCTTGGGATGGGACAAAGTTTGGCTTCATAGTTTCATAGCTTTGGATCAAAGAAGAAACTGCTATTATCTTCTTCCTTATTTTCTGCTGGCTTCAAATCATCCATCTCAGCTCTTCCAAAATCCTGATGCAGGTAACTTCTTTAATTTCTCTCTTTATTTACGCTGCTCGGTTATTGTTTCTGCTATATAGTTTTGCTTTGATTAGGGTATCCATATTCCATATCTATTTTCAAACCAGTCAGATATTCCTTTCTTTTTATAAGGAATAATGGGGAAAGAACGATCAACTAGTGGAAGGCCTAAGGATGTTGAAGCGTGGAAACACGTCACTGTATTCGAAGGGGAGAAGAAAGTAAAGTGCAATCATTGTGGATTTGAATTTGCAGCAAGTACGAATCGAATCAAATCTCATATTTATCAAATTAAGGGTAAGGGGATTCGACCTTGTACTACTCCTCTTTCCAACAAAGACACCAGCCTGAAACAGGATCTTCTTCATTCACAAGGTACGAGATAATATTATTTTAATTTGAATGAATAATTATGTATGCTATCTTATTGACTAATTTAGGAAGGTTAAGGAAGCTAAATAAATAACTTAATTATATCATATTTTTAATAATTTTTTTTTGGCGTATGGTCCTGAACACAAGTTAGTTCAAGATTCCATTTGTTTCTAAATATAAAATATCAGTCCACTTTGTCTCCCATCTTTGCCCAAAATATCCCTATTTATATTAATCATCGGAGGTAGTAATTTATAAGTTAGACAAATTAATTTGAAGAAAGTGATAAATACAAATATTTTAGAGTAATTTATCTAGTTTTCTTAATCTTTTCAAATTAGTTAATTGAGTCTTATATTAAGAATTAGAAGAGAGTAGTATGTTGGTAATTGATTTCTTTTGGTGAATATTTTGGTTTTTAATTTCTTCTAAGAAATAAAGTCTAGTAATCTCCTTAAGAGAGACTGAAATATCATTTTCGAGTATAAATAACATAAGTATATTTTGTTATCCTTTCCAATGTGAATATAAATGAAATTAAACAGTGATTACTATTGTGTGAAATTAGTTTATCAGAAAAGGAGTGTCAATAAATTTTGTTATTTTTAATCTTTCTTCGCCTAAATAACAGCGCGTGTTTTTTTTTTGGCATCTTTTTTCACCTTACACGTGTGTTTTCTGGATTATATAAATTGTGGATTGTGATGACTAGTGTATGTGAATTCTAATATATATGTAAGACATTCCTCAGTTTTTATCATATGTTGGAGTGAGGAACGATTCATATGAACTATATGAGAGTTAATTTAATTAGTAGCCTACTATTAACTCGTAGTTTAGAAAGTTTGAATTTGTACTGTGACTTTGGCAACTAATTAATGTACTCATTAATTATACTCAAAATAGGACAGAGAGATTATAACAAACTCATCAACGAAAGAATGCTTGATTGTTACATGTCCCCCAAAACAATGTGGAAAGGGATGAAGGCTCCCCAGCAAGTTCAAATCGACTCAGAAGCTATGCATCAAGAGAGGATTAAGGTCGGCCCTTTTTGTGTTCCCAATAATGTTGTGGACGAACCTGACTTACAGTTGATACAATATGTTTTTGAGCGTTTGAGGTTAGATTCATATGCTTACAACCATATATATATATATATATATATTATGTGTAAGTAGTAGCGTGTAGTTTTTCTAATGTGAAGCTTAACTAAGGGTGTGTTTGGGATAGCGGTGATAGAAGTAGTTTTTTTTCAATCTGACTTTTATAGAAGTGAGATTGAGTAAAAGTCAGATAGTGTAATGTGATTTATGTTTGGATTGAGTTTGATAAAAAAATCAGTTTAAAAAGCTGAAACTTGTTTGGATGATAAATGTAAAAGTAAGTTTAGATGTAAAATAACTGAAAAGGATATAAATTTTATTGAATGATAAATATTTAATTAAAATTAAAATTATAAAAATAAAAATAGTTATTTTTAATAATAATTAAAACTAAAATAATATATTTAAATTTTAGGAAAAATTTAGAAAAAATCCTCCTATTAAAAATATAACTAGTGAAAAGCATTTAAATCATAATACAAGCATTCTATATCTATAATATTTACATTTAGTATATAAAAATTTATCAATTACTTCTTACTAATTAAATTTTTAATACAACATTTTTCTCACTTTTCCATAGATTTTATAAATATGATAGAAAATAATAAATAATAAAAAATTTATTTTTAAAAATAGTTTTATTATTCAAAAAATAATTTCTTTAACATTAAAAAATGGCTGGGCTAAAAAAAATTTTTTAAAAAAATATACATCATGCATAAAACATTCTCTCTCTTCCCTCACTTATGGGCCCCACCTATTCAACCGTGCTTGGAGAAGCTAAAAGCCATAAATTTGAGCTTTTGGGGAAAAAGTTACTTTTGGGCATAAGTTCATTTGCCTCTACATTCAATCCAAACATGAATTTTAAAGAAAAAGTTGCTTTTCTCAGCTTTTCTGGTGAAGAAGTCCGTTTGGGAGCCCTGGCCGTGATACCAAACACACCCTAAATCATTCGCCTTACATGTTCTTTAGTGATAGATGTATAATTTTTTCGTCGCATGGAGGTACACATCTGTGTCAATCTGAATTGACCACACTTGGACCACGGGCTCATTTGGATTCATGGGTGAGTATTTACTTATACTTTCATGGGTTAAGATATAAATTTGTTCCGAAAGTTTTTACCTAGAAGCATTAGGTACTTAAAGTTTTTTGGGTTTTAAAATCTCTTTGAAAATGTTATGTTCACGAAATTTGATAGGAGAATGGCGAGCAATATCTTATTACAGCGTAATGGGTGAGTTTATGATTTGTTTTTAATTATAGTCTTTATTAAAACAAGTATGCATATTGACCATGTCGTATTTTTTTCAACATGTAGACATGATTGTGGTATATTTGTTATTAATTATATGCAACAATCAGATCATTATGTGAAGCAAAATCCCTTATTACAGGTATGGTCACTTGCAAATTAGTTTTGCTAAATGCTCTTACACACATACACATGCACATGAATGTATGAACACTCTATCGTATATTAAATAATACATATGGACAAATTTCAGTTTGACAGTGATAAAGAAAGGTTGGATTTGACTTTAAAGTTATTCAAGAGTAACTTGAATAATGAAAAAGAAAGACTATATGATGAAACAGCAAGAAGTTATGCAAAAGCCCATAGCGAAGAAGATTTAGATTTACGTGGAACTAAAAGAAAGTGGGTTGAAGATGTTGGAAGAGGAGGGGCATACATGGAATTGGATGATTCTGATAATACAGTGAAGAGAAAAAATGTTCGTTTGAAAACAGGTATATGCTTCAACTTAAATATATATACCCTTTCTCTTTTTGAGAAGTGATTTGTAAAAAAATTATTTGTACATTCTTTGTAGTTTCATGCTAGATGAGTATTACTTTGTTTTTAAGACATGGTAAAGGATATCTATATGCAATATATTGAATTTATTTCTATTTTATTCTTCTTACTCCTGGCATTTGAATTCTATAATTCCTTTTGTGAACTCATGTTAATAGATTATTCTTATTCTTTTTGCTAGAATGCTCTAGAGGTTATTTGTTGCCGCCAATTGATTTAGTGGGAGAAGAGTTTCAAAGGTATATCCAACAAATATGGAAATGGATAACAGAAGGGGAGGTGTCAGCAATTGGGATATGGGGAATGGGCGGAGCAGGGAAAACAGCTTTAGTAACTCACGTGCATAACAAACTTTTAGAAGAAACTGGTGATGACTTTGAGCATAGTATTTGGGTCACCGTGTCACAATATGATGATAGCATTTCTAAATTGCAAAAGGCCATTGCAAGATCAATTAATTTAGACATATCTGATGAGTGTGATGTCAAAAGGATATCAGGCAAAATTATTGCATGCATTCAAACACATAACTAGATGTGTCCTCATTTTAGATGATGTTTGGAATCCTATATATTTAGAAGAGGTTGGATTTCCAGTTTCAAATAATGGGATTAAATTGATTTTGACAACTCGATTATGGGAAGTGTGTCAAAGTATGAATTGTATGAAGAACATAATAGAAGTAGAACCTCTAGGTAAAGAAGATGGTTTTGATTTGTTTAAAAAGACTCTTGGAGTCCATCAAATACAACCGACTGGGGTGGAGCTTAAAGCAAAGGTGGTGGCAGAACAATGTGAGGGTTTGCCCCTTGCAATTGTTATGATAGCAAGAAGCATGAAGGGAAAAGAGCACATAAGAGAATGGGATCATTTGTTGGAATGCCTTCAAATCATGTGTGATGGGCAATATCATATGGATGAGAGGGTATTTCAGGTATTGAAATCTAGTTATTCTTTCTTAAACGATGAATTACAAAGGTTTTTTTTGTACTGTGCATTGAGTACTAAGGGGACTGTATTGGATAGTGTTATTAAGCTTTTTATGAAAAGATTTTTCTATGGGGAATGGATAGATGGGGCAAAGAGCTTTGAGATGCGATATAATGAATGTTACACCATGTGCCATAAATTAAAAAATAGCAGCTTGTTGGTGAAAAAGTATGGGAAATGGAGAGTGCACACTTTGCTTCAGGTCATGGCTATTAATATTGCAAAGAAGACTGAACAAATCATGACAAAACATGGCATGAATTTAATAGGATTGTCAGAGAATGGAAAATGGAATGAAAATTTGCGTTTTGTTTTTCTAAGTAAAAGTGATGTACCGGATATTTTAGATGACACATCTCCCAAGTGCTCTAAACTTTCTGCATTGATTTTAGATTCTAATTCTTATCTCAAATGGATTCCAGATGATTTTTTCATTAACATGCCTACTCTTAAAATACTTGATTTGTCTCGGACTAGCATTGAGCATTTGCCCACATCTATATCTAACTTGAAATGTCTCATTGCATTATTACTCTCACGATGTAGAAAATTGAAGTACATCCCTTCATTATTATCTAAGTTTAGCCTCGTTACATTATGCCGCTTTCTCAATTGAAAGAGTCTACCACTTAAAAGGGGTTGTTTTATCTGGTATTGATTGGGCAAATAGAGTAGCGGTACTTCCAACAGACGTCAAAAGGTTGATTATAAGCAAGTGTAATGATTTGACAAGGACGACTACTTGCCTATGCCATGCTCTATCAATTCATAATAATAATAATTTACCAAAAATTGAATGGTTGGAAATAGGGGAATGCGATAGGCTGGAGTACTTGTTCTGTGTCTCTCCCACTTGCTCATTTTGCACCTCTGTCATATTAAGTCAATCGCTGCACCTTACTACGCGGAAAGACTTGAAACAAATAGTGGCACAACCTCCTCTATCATTGGATAGCCCGTTCCTCTATCTCAGAGAACTCGATATTTTTGGATGTAGCAGCATGAAGATTCTAATGACACCAGAATTATTAGCACAGCTCCAAAACCTAGAGACTGTTTCTGTTGTAAGTTGTGAGTCGATGGAAGAAATAGTTGGAGAGAGTTATTGTAGCGGTAACACTTCTAACCCTACGATCACTCTTTCCAAAGTGAGATCTTTGAAACTGAATTTTCTATCACAATTGACTTTTGTATTTAGAGGAATCATGCTCTGTCCTTCTCTCCATTATTTTGAGGCCTCCTATTGTGAGAAACTAAGTCCTCCTCATATAGAGATCAAAGAAGGATGTAAGCTTCAAATGCAGAAGGCATGGATGGGACAGGAAATCTATTGGAAATACGATAGTCAGGTGCAAATCTCCTCCAAAATTTGACTCTCTTTTTTATTATATATGGATGCCATCTTATTATTTATGTTCATAGTATACGCATGTATAGACGTTGCAATTGTCTTAGTTTGTTTTATTTTTCTTTATTTTCATTCTTAAAAATATGCCATGAATTTATATGAAATTAAATTTGGCTTTTCAATTCCTTTCACTCTGTTGGAAGTCTAACAGGTCATTTTTGCAACGATGAAAGCTGACGAATCCTTAATTAAATTTATGTCCTAAGCATTCATTGACGTATTGGGGAAATGAGAGATTTAGTACTTTTGCTGGTTATTTTTTGGCAGTGTTAATACTTTTGCTGTTTATATGTATGCTTCCATGGTTTTCATCGTAGTAGTAGCGCTAATGATTTCTTATGAATGGTGGCGTTGGGTCTTTTTTTTTTTAGGGTTTTGGTCTTAGCATTGAAAATCCACTTGGATCTGGTCCAAAATTATGAGACAAAAGCTCTTGGGGGTCTTTTTTTCTTCCTTGTTCCTCCTTTTTAATGGCGAAATCATCATAATTATGTAATGGATCGAAATTAAACTAATTAAATGGTACTAATCAACTCACACTGATTCCATTGAACACAAATCAATAGGGAGAAACTCCTTAGAATCGAATTTGAACCATTCATGAACCTCGATTTCAAACATCTCAAACTCCCGAAACTCCAAGATAGACAGGAGAAAAATCGAGTTAGAATACCTACCTTAGCGTTTATCAAGCCCTATAAGAGGAAAACCGCTTCTCTCCAAAATATCTTTTCTTTCCTTTCCTTTGTATCGATCATTTTCACCAATTCAAAGCACTCAGCCTGAGTCATTTTTTCACAATCCTGGGTGCTTCCATGCAGCAATGAACACAACTAAGCTACTCTAAATCTTAGATCACTATCCTGAAATAAAATTAGCATGTCGCACAGACTATTTGTTGAATAAGTTTTTCATGTTTTTAAATAATTTCGTTAGATTTAGGCCGAGTCCTAATTAGCTCCGTGTGTGTGTGTGGGGTGTAGGCCATTTTGTCACTGGAATTGTTGATCTCTTTTTTGGCTTGATATATGGTTGTGAATAAGGCATACATAAAATTGATCTGATGTTCAGGAACAGGAACATGAACAGGAAGACAAATACACAGATGAAAATTTTTGGCATGGGATATGAGAGAGGCTTCTTCGTTTTATAGCTCTTGTTCTATATATAGGAGGATCCCTTGCCTCACAATATTGTACCATTTTGGTTATATCGTGCACTGCAATTTAGGGTCTTCTGGAACCCAAAATGATTGTGTTACAAAGTCAAATTGGATATGTAAGGTCCAGACGGTAAATGTCTATGTTCTCGCTACTCCTTCTGTAATGGTTTACCCAAAATGATGTCCCTGCTTTTTCAATGCTCGGTTATTAGCATCATGAATCCTGATGATTTTATTAGAGAAAGCAAATAATTAACTCACTCTTTCTGTGATGGACACGGGTATGATGGAGCTAGCTATTTTTGCCCCTTGGGAAGTGACAATTATTTGGGCTTAGCTTTCCCTGCTTTTACATTTTATTCTGTGATTTTTAACACCATTTGTTCCAAATCTAACTTTTGACATGTACACCTAATTGTCTTTTCTTAAATTAGGCATGCTACGAGAGAAATGATAGATCATTTTGATTGTGTTCATATGAAATCATTTTTTGTCACTCTTTCATTTTACTCCGTAAAGGGTTGAGTCATTGGCTTCTTTCGAAAGTTATCATTGGCTTATTTCAAAAGTTATTTTGTATTAGTTTTGCCTTCCATCTATCTTATATAGTGCAAACTCCATTTTGCTTGTATGAGTTTTACAAGCTCTCCCACTTTTACCTGCGATGGGAGCGCTGCTCCCATCTCCTTTCTTTAGAGGTAGGAGTACGGCTCGACCTGATTTTATAGGATTGAAATTTCAAAAGTACTTTAATTTGTTAGGTCTGGCTTTTAAGCTAATAGGCGTAGGGCTGGCCTACGGGTTTTTGGCCTGTTTAAAAAAAATACTATTTTTCATATTTCGTATATTTTTAATAAAAAATAAAACTTTATTAATAAAATTATTAATAAAAGACATAACTATGAATAAAATTAAGTCACAAATATAAAATATCATCATATATAAATATCTATCAACATTCAAGAACATCTAAAACATTCGTTAACAAGATAACAACATTCAAAAGTTTCATTTATAGTGCAAATGTACAAGAAACAAATACTATCATTAATCTATTAAAACTTTATCGTTACTATAATTAATTATTCTTTTGAATAAGTATGCTTTTCTTTGGTAACAAAAATATCAAGTTTTTTTTCTTTATTAGAATTTCACTTTTAAATTTTGCAGTCTAGTTATTATTTTAATTTACTTTGAGAAACATTGTTGTTGAAACTCATAACTTTCTAATTCAAATTATAGAATCTCAAGTTATATAAGTATAAGAATACCCTTTTATCAAATATATATAGTTTAAAAATATCGACACATATAATATAAATCAAATTATTATTAAAGTTCAAATTAACTCATTTTATAAAAATTTAATTAGACAAATTATTGTCTAAAACTAAATAAATCAAACCATTCAGTAAAATTTAATTTTAAAATGAAAATAATAACTAAATATATGAAATGCTATTAACAATGTAAAAAATTAATAATATTAAAATTACACAAAAAAATTTTTAAAAAATTATAAAAAGATCTAAACAGGCCAGCCCATTTAACCTCTTGACCAATAGGACTCATTTCGCATTTGAAGGAAAAAATTTCAAACCCAACCCTAATAATTTTCGGGTCTAAATAGGCCAATCCGACAGGCTCGATCTGTTTTTTTGGCTTTATCTTTCCTGCGCCTCCGCACACGTGATCAGCTCCTCTGACGCATGGATCTGGCGCCGCCGCCACCTCGCCGTAATATTGATGCCAATCCAGGCATCCGATCAACGCACAGCCACTTCTGTTGTGTGCGGCTTGAAGAAAGCAGCTCGAAACCAGAATTTTCAAGGCCAACGATCACCGCATGTGTCGGTTGAAGCCACTACGCGTGAACCCACGCGCCTTCGCCTTTGTTGACGTCATAAGTGATATTTTGCAAAATTGCACTTTGACCCGATTGTCTAAGAAAACTACACTTTAAACCCAGTTTTGAGAAAAATTGCACTTTTACCCAGTTTCCACCATTTCTTCAAATGTGGACATTCTAGAAGCCACTGAAAGATTTGGGTATTTTTCTTTTTTTTTATTTCTTTATTGATATTTATTTACTATATTTAGTTTTTCTGTCATTTTAGGAAAAAAAAAAAAAAGAAATCCCTATAGAGAAGATTTGTCGCTTAAGTATGAGTTATATCCTTATGAAAAAGCATCGCAATGTATATGACACCCCATATGAGGATCTATTGATCAAAGGGCTTGGTTTAGTTGAATGTTCTCATTTCATTTCATTTTTTTTTTTTTTTTACCCCCTCAAGAGGACTCTTTCGACAACTTGATTCATTAGCTAATCTGTGAATTCCCTGAGAAGTCAACTTTGTGGCTGATTTCTCTAATGCCTCGTCTGGTATAATGGAAGAGTTTTTGATGGAAGTGGAAGTGGAATTAGAAGTGGAAGTGGAAATGGAAGGGGGTTCTAAAACATGTTTGGTATGAGAGTGGAAGTGGGGTATAATTTTTAATTAAAATATATATTTATATTGTAAAAATACTAAAATACCGTCAATAGGAAAAAAAAAATCCACTCCCACAGTCACGACCATCCACTTGCACATGACCACCGGTGTTCACTGGAAAGAAATCGTCCATTGCTGGTGATAGTTCATCAACCATTAAACAATTAATCCAAACTCAATCATCAATCCAAGCAATATATAAAGCAAATACAAATACAAATATCAGCCATCAACACAAAAGGGGGGAAAAAAAAAAGCAAAGAGATTGAGAAAAGAGATATTGCAAGGTCTATGAATCAAGAAAATGAAAAGCTGTGTGAGGGAAAGGAAGGGAGACGAGGACGATGGCGTCGGTGCTTCTCAGATATGACGCCGCCACCGCTGCCCCTTAGTCTATGAATCACGACATCTCTCCTCCTGTTCTTAGATCTGAAGTCGACGGAGAAAAACATGGAGATTAAAGAGGGAGAAAGCTGCAGAGGAAGAAGATGGGACCTCCTACTCTCAGATCTGAAGTCGACGAAGAAGAAGATGATGGAGATTGAGGGAGGGTGCAACAGAGCAAGACGAGGAGATTGGGCAACGAAGTTGAGGGAGATGGAGGTTAGGATCGTAGAGAAAGGCGATGAAGATTGTAGATCGCGTCCTCACCGCCCGCCGTCGTCCTCTGTCGTCGCTGTCGTCACCGCAGGTGGAGCTAAATGGGAGTGCTGTCACCAGAGGTGGCTGAAAGGGAAGAAAAAAGGGTCATAATATGAGGGGCAAACTTGTCAATAGATAAAAAAATTGAGGGTATAATCGTGAGAAAATCTCACTTCCGGGGAACTCAAACCAGTTCCTTCGGGTAAAGTCATGGAACCCGATTCTATCAATTTGATGGAAGTGAGTTCCACGTAGAAGTGGGTTCCATTGCACTAAACATGTCAATGTTATGATTCCACTTCCACTTCCCCACCCTCAATTCCAATGTAGCAAACGGGACATAACTCTTTTCACTTATTTTTCTCGTTGTTTTTGGGTTTTTATTATGTTTTCAGACTAGAGCCGGAAAAACGGGTTGAGCCCGTCGGATCGGCCCGTTTAAGCCCGTTTAAGTCAAAGGCCGGGCTTGTATTTTGGAGTCTTGAAAGGGAAGTCGGGCTTAAAAGGGCCAGCCCTGTAGGGCCGAAAAATAAACGGACCGGTCCTGTAGGGCCGCGTGCTAGCCCGTTTAGACCCACCAATTTTTTTTTTAATTTTTATATGTTTTTTCTTAACTTAAAAAAAGAAACCCTAACATTTTAGACATAGTATACTCTTAGTTTTACTTATCCCAACCGCTCACATAGATAGCATTCACAAAAAAAAAAAAGAATCATTATAGTTGTGGGAAAAATAACCAAAAAAACGTGAAAATTGCAAAATTTAAAACTAAACATATTCACAAAAATATATTGTTATTTATAAGTTGTCAAAACTTGTTAAAATACTGTATGTGTAATTTTTATGGTCTTTATTTGTTATTCTCCCATATTTTTTATACTTGAAATATAATTGATCAAAAAATCTTTTGAACTAAAATAAAGATGTATATCATTTTTATAGTTAGAAACAAATTTAGAACTAAGGATGATGGACTCTTTTCTTTTTTGTCGGTATGACAAATGATTATTCTTTATGTATACTATGTTTGTTAGTTAAAATTTTTTGTTAATTATTGATAACTAAACCAGATCATTTGCGTTGTAATTATCTACTGAACTTAGTGCTTATTTAGTTGTTTATGTCTATCTTCTATTTAGTTTGTTTTTTCAATAAACTCTATTACACTGTGATATATGTTTAGACATGATGATATTTATATTTGTAAGTTAATTTTATTTATATTTATACCTTTTATTAGTAATTTTATTGTTTTATTTTTATTATTTTGATAAAATATGCAAAAAAAAATAAAAAAATTTCATTTTAGTTAAAAGAACTAAAAACCCGCGGACCGGCCCGAGCCCGTTATCTCGCGGGCCGGGCTTGAAAAAATGTATTATTTTTAAAACTTAGACTTAAACGGGCCGGTCCGTTTAAGTTCGAGTCCATGACAGGCCAGCCCTGTAGGGCCGGGCTGGCCCGTTTTTCCAGTACTATTTCAGACTTTGGTTTCTTTTTAATCAAAGTTACTTTCAGTTGGCAAGAAAAATAAAAAGGTTAGACTCCATAGGGCCGACAACATCACGGTTGACGAGAATATATATATAAAGAAGTTGCCACTATTGAATGGGTGGCGTTAAATACACGTGTTTCAAATTTTAAAGTATAATTATTTTCGTGTTTCTGATAATATCCCCGCTTAGAAGGAGAATATTGAATGGAGGCATTTAAAATGTAAAATAGTGTCACGCATTGGCAATAAATGGAAATAAAAAAAAAACAAAAAAAAATCTTACATACTCCGTCCATAAAAGAAATACCATTAATATGCAGTACTTTCTACAATTTTTAAGAGGCTCGGGGTGGAATGATTGGAAAAATTATGATTAAGATCCCTTATATTTTGGGATGAAGATATGTTCTACAAAAAATCTTATAAGAAGGGATGGGGCAAATAAATATTACATAAATTTTGTTTTTTCCTTTGGTTTACATATACATACACACATATATATTATGATGACAAGTATTAAGCATTGAGAAAATATGTATAACATTTTCGACCAAAAAAAAAACCCAGAGGGTAGTTTCAAAGGTGTTTTGGGAAATCAATGTTACTATCTCTGGTCCTACTTATAAAAGTTAGTTGACTAATTTGAGAAAATTAAAGAAGTAAGTTGAGTTAGTTATTTGTCCTAAATATGTGTTGTGTTTCCTAAAATATCCTTACTAATCAAATGTATTGGTTAGAACTATCATTGTTAGAAGGACTACTTTGGAAAAAAAATATAAATATGAGAGACAAAATGGAGTGGGGTCTTATATTTAACACTAAAATAAAAATCAAATAAGGTCTTATATTAAGGACCGAAAGTAGTATATTCTAAGAGTTCCTGTGGCATGTAATTGGATGTTCTATTGGAGGGGGAGAGAGCATATGGGTTTTATTGCTGATGGGACTCAGAATATTAATAATAGTAATAATAAACAATATGATGGAGATAACAAAATATTCATATTTACCGTATATAACATATACCGCATAGAGTGCTTAAAATTCAAAGAATCTAGGATAACCCAAAATTAATTTTTTATCTCCCCTTTCCATTAAGTCTACCCTTTCTCCTCCCGTTTTAAATGTGAAACTCATTTTATAGTACAAATTACTTTATAACATGGGTCTTATATTTGAGAAAGAAGAGGCACTAATAAAAGTAATACGAGTAATAAATTAATAATAGTCACTTTCTTCCTCTCGTGATTTTTCCTCACAATACCTCTGAAGGTTTCAAACTTGTGACGCGTCTTCAAAGTTCAAACTTTCTCCAGACAAATTGTTAATTTTAAATTTTGTTTTGTTGTAGTTTGTGCAACCACTACAAAAAAACAAAGTTTAGGTGACGACTTTCGGTGGCGACAAAAAAAATCGCCGCTGAAAGTCCACTTTCAACGGCGACACCTCGCACGAATGCTATGAGTGATAGTGATTTAACTAGAAGATAAAGTTCTAATGATCTAGAGGAAACTAAAAAATACAGACATTTGTGGATTCAATGTGAAAATTGTTATGGACTAAATTATAAGAAAGTTTTGAAATCAAAAATGAATATTTGTGAACACTGTGGATATCATTTGCAAATGAGATAATGTCGCCGCTGAAAAGTATCTTTCAGTGGTAACTTTTTTAGTCGCCACTAAAAGTTTTCAGCCACAGCTGCTACGACAACGACTTTTCAACGACGATCAGCGGTGACTTTTATACTTTCAGCGGCAACTTTTGTCGCCGTTGAAAGTCAATTTTTTTGTAATGAACCTTGTCGCGGTCCAAACAATCTGGTAAAGTGAAAAGATTCTTCTCTACATCACCTTCATTTTGGGTAGGCATGGAGTAATTGGCTACAATAATGGCTTCATATATAGTTTCATGTATCGTTAAGGATCAAAGAAGACACTGCCATTATATTGTTTTATACATACACACCTCATCTTCTTCCTTATTTAACTTACTTTCTCTCTTTATTTTGTTTCTCTTGAGTTTTGCTCTGATCAGGTTATCCATATTCAATATATCTATTTTCAAACGAAGCAGTCAGATTCCTTACTTAGCTTCCTTTTTATATCAACCCGAATGTGATGTGAAGATTGTTTCTATTTGCTGGAATAAGGCAGATTTCTTAGGAAAAAGGAATGATAATGGGGAAAGAAGGATCAGCTGGCGGAAGGCCTAAGGACTAGAGCTGGTAATACGGGCTGGCGGTGCGGATACGGGCCAGCCCGTGGCGGAGCGGGCTGAAAGCGGAGCGGGCTCAAGTAGCCCGCATTTTGGCGGGCTGGCAGAGTGGAAGCCCGCACCCGCCAAGGCGGGCTGGCCTGTATTTTTTTTTTTTTTAAAAGCGAAAACATGCTATTTTTGGCACTTTTTCACACCTGAATGCATTTTTCATTACAAATTACAACATTCAAGGACAAATAAACATCCAAAACAATTAAAAAACACCAACCAACATCCAGCAACAATTCAACATTAATTCAAGTGTCCAAAAATTAAATATTACAGACAAAACACATCTAAAAACCAAACATGATCTAATCGGGTGGGACACTTGAAGCATTAAATGAAGCTTCTTCAGGATTGATAGAAACTATTTCTTCTTCGGGATCATCTTCTGCCACACATAAAGAAGAGTATTAGATTTGCACTGCTCAATTACACTTAATAGAAAAATTAATATATATAAAACAAATAAGCAAATATGATTATATTACCACTAAATGGAAAACCAAGAATCCAATTACGAGTACAAATGAGGGCTTGCACATTATCCGGAAGAAGACTACTTCTATACTTTGTAAGAACTCGTGAACCAATACTAAAAGCTGATTCACTGGCAACCGTGGTTATGGGAATGCTAAGAATATCACATGCCATTTTTGCAAGACAAGGAAACCGAGATGAGTTACTCTTCCAATAATCCAAAACCTGTAGGTTTACAAACAAGGTAGGATCAAGTGTTGCCTCTTCCAAATAATAATCTAATTCAGACTTTTCTATTGTCGCACTATCTTTGCTCTTGCATTCAAGATAATCCTACATCATAAGAATAAAACATTAGTATTTAGTAACATTGAAGGAAAATATTTAACTATTAAACAAATTAAAACTTACATCAAAGGCATCCAAGTAGTTAGATTGATCCCTCACAGAGAAATTAGGCGGCACAATGTTTGCAAGATGAATGGATCTAGCATTGTAACTTGATTCAGTTTGAACAATATGGGTTGGAGATGAAGATGATACCAGATTTTTGTACTCATTGAAAACACTGTACAACTTGCTCCTAACATATTCAACCTTCTCATGACAATTTGTAGGATCAAGTCTTGAGTAAGAAAATTTTACGATATCAAACTTCATCCGTGGATCAAGGATAATTGCAAGTGAAAGAATGACAGAGTATGAATCCCAATATTTCTCAAACTTGTCAAGCATTCTAACAGCCATATCTCGAATCACAGAATCATCATTATGCATATGATGCTTTAACATTGACTCAATTTTTGATATTTGATTGAAGTACATGTTAGAAGTGGGATATGTTGACCCAGACATCAAATTTGTAATCACTGCAAATGGCTTCAAGAATTTACACATTGCTTCTGCTCTAGCCCACTCTTCATTGGTTGGACAATGAGGATAATTGGTGTCATTGAAAGCCAAATTAGCAAAGGCACGACGATATTTAAGAGCACTTTCAAGCATTGCATGTGTAGAATTCCATCTAGTTGGGACATCTAACTTCAAACTCACTGTTTCAGGAACTTCAACTTGTTCAATACATCTCTTGAAAACAATTTTCCTCGCCTCTGATTGCCTTACATATCTAATGCTCTCCCTAATCTTATGCATAGCATCACTTGCTACTTTCATACCCTCTTGAACTATGAGATTCAAGATGTGGGCACAACATCTCACATGAAAAAACTCCCCATTGCATAGCAAGTCATTATTAAAATTCAACCTCTCTTTTAATAAATTTTGCATGACATCATTTGCTGAAGCATTATCCAAAGTAATAGAAAATACTTTCTTTTCAATCCCCCAATCAATCAATAAATCATGCACCCTTTTAGCTAATTCAACCCCAGAGTGAGGCGGCTCCATTTTAGAGAATGCAAGTATCTTACTATTAAGTCGCCACTTCTCATCAACAAAATGAGCAGTTAAGCAAAGATAACCTTCACCAGTTATTGATGTCCAACAATCACTAGTTAAACATATTCTACTAGGACAATCTATCATCACTTTCTTTAGATTTTCTTTTTGACTAATATAAAAATTCCAAACATCCATCACTGCAGTTTTTCTAGTAATGTTCTTATAATCAGCATTCAAATATTTGAGCAACTCCCTAACCGCTTCATACTCAACAAATGAATATGGTAAATCATGTTTAATGATACAAGCAGAAATCATTTCTCGAACTTTGTTATGATCAAGTTGCCTGGATCTTACATTCCCTGCATGGTCTATCATCATGTCACCAATGTCTTTATATTTTGGCAGTGACACACACATCTCCATATGACGCCTAAGGGTTGAAGTTCCATACTCCTTTCCACCACAAACATATGGTTTTCCACATCCATTACAGGTTGATTTTTGTTTGCCATTAACCACACCAATTTTAGTAAAAAACTTCCAGACATCAGATGTATTTTTCTTTGCCCTCTTATTTGAATTATCTTGCACAGAAGATTCAGGGGTTTTTCCTTGTATAGATTGGTTCCCCCCGTATTTGTTTCATCAGGAACGGTAATCTCAACTTCCTTTCTTCCGGTTCCACTACCATCAGTAGCCATTTTGCTTTAAAATTAACTTGCAAATAACAACACTAATCCCAATAATCCAGCAAAATCAACCACAACAGAAAGAACAAATCAAAGACGAGCGACGGAGCGGATATCCAAAATCAAATCCAGCAGCCAAGCAACAATCAAATACGAAGAAAGCAGAGCAGAAATCGAAGGTAAGGAAGATTTGCCTGAGAGGACGAGTTGAGCTCCAGCCACAATCAAAGACGAAGAAAGCAGAGCAACAAGCCAACAATCAAAGACGAAGACATCCAGCCAAAGCCTCGAGCCTGCGTCTTGCGATTCGCGAAACAAGGTTGCTGCGCCTGCGAGCTTGCGACACGAAGATGATGGGGCTGGGTGATGGCGATGCGAATCAAGGAGACAAGAAGCGAGGCCGTGTCGCGGTGAGCTACATGCGTGGTCAGCGTCGGTGCCGGCGATTCTGGTTTCTGGGGAGTGGGGAATAGCCGATTAGTCGAGTGGGGACTGCTGTGTGGTGGCTCGTGGCTGAAGGAGTAGGGGTAAAGGTCAACCGAAGGGCGAAGGCGATTCAGCGAGGGGCGAAGGCGATTCAGCGAGGGGCGACGGCGAAGCGTGAACTGCGAAACAGTGAAGTGCAAAGTGCGAATTAGACAATTAGTGACTTACTGACTTAGGGCGTTAGAGGCTTACTGGCTTAGAGAGCAGGGGCGCAGCGCAAAGGGCAGCCGGGGAACAATTTTTTTGGGTTGGGCTAAAAATTAAAAAAGGCTTGGTGAAATTGGACTTGGACCAGAACCACCATAAGATAATAAGACCATGAGACAAGAGTGTGAGGTAGCGTAAAAAAAAAAAAAAAAAAAAAAAGCGGGCTAGCCCGCCAACCCGCGGGCTAGCCCGTGGCGGAGCGGGCTGACGAAGTTCAGATTTCAGCGGGCTAGCATTTTCCTAACCCAAACCCGCTCTTTTAGGCAGGCTGGCGCGGGCCCAGCCCGTTTTACCGGCTCTACCTAAGGATGATAAAGCGTGGAAATACGTCACTGTATTGAAAGGGGGGAAGAACGCAGAGTGCAATGGCTGGGGATCAGTATTTGCACTAAGTGCTAATCGAATCAAATCTCATGTTTATCAAATTAAGGGTAAGGGTGTTCGACCTTGTACTACAAAAAAGACACCAGCAATGGCATATCTAAATGGTATTATTAGTAACTGAGGAATAAAGTGTACTAATCTCTGTAAGAGAGACTAAAATATCATTTTCGAGTATAAATATAATGTAACCCAAGTATATATATTTTGTTGTTCTTTCCAAACCATTACTAGTGTACTGTATGAAATTAATTTATTATCAGTAAAGCAGTGTCAATAAATTTTGTTATTTGTAATATTTCTTCGCCTAAATATCAGCCCGTCTTTTCTGGATTTTTTTCACCTCATACGTGTTTTCTGAATTATATTAATGAGTTAAGGTGCAATCCTAAAAGTTTTTACTTAGAAGCACTAAGCACTCGAAATTTTTTTGGGATACAAATTTGCCTCTAAACTTTAAAATCATAGTAATATTACCCTTTATCGGTAAGAAAGCTAATACTGCCCATTAAAATAATGACATTAACTATTAACATTATTAACAGTAAGGGTAATATTGCTATAATTTTAAATTTCTGGAATAAATTTGCATCCAAAAAAACTTTCGGGTGATTAACATTTCTAAGTGCAAACTTCTGGAAACCAATTTGCTCCTTATCCCTATATCAATTGTGAGTTGTAATGAGTAGTGTATGTTGATTCTAATAAATAAGATATTCCTCTCTTTTTTCTAATCATATATACTACCTCCAGTTCTAAATGTAAGAGCTAGTTGACTTTTATGTTATTTTTTAAAATTTAAATTCTTTTTAATTATTTTAAAATAAAAAATAAAACAACAAAACTTCTAAGATTTTGTATTCAAATTATAAATATAAGTAAAATAAATTAGTGGTGTATAGAAAAAAAATTAAATGCCAATAAACTATTGTCCAAAATAAAAAAAAATCAAAATCTAACAAAACATGAAAAACAGAAAGATAAAAACCTAACAGCTAAAGATTAACAATATCAACATCATTATTATCTTTATCTTCATTTTCATCAGTATCATCAAGATCAGCAATATTGATTGTTCTCTACTAAAAGTGAGCTTTTCTTCAGTAATAAAAATATTAAGGTTTTTGTCTTCATTTACCTTATCTAAAATAAAACTATGCAGTAGTTATAAGTGCAAATAAGAGCCTAAATATTTGTTCGAATAAGAAGAGTTTTACATTTTGTTAAGATATGTAAACCGATGGTAAATGAAGATCTACTAGCTATTATGGTGATTAACATGTTAAGAATATCAGCTACCATTCTTGAAAGAATTGAAAATTGATTTTAATTGTTCTTCCACAAGTCCAAGACATCTAATTCTTTTCAATTATCTAGTTTGAATATTGATTCTTCTAAGTATTTTTCTAATTTAAACTTATTCATAAAAGACTAATATATAACTTTATAAATATATTGATAATAATAAAAAAAATAGGCGGGCTTAAAAAGGCTAGCCCTTAGCCCTAAAGGGTTGGCCCTTTTATTTTTTAGCCCTATAGGGCTAGCCCTTTTAAGCCCAATTTCTTTTTAAACCACCTAAAATACAAGCCCGGCCCTCCACTTAAAAGGGCTTAAAAGGGCTAGCCCGATAAGCTTGGCCCGTTTTGACGGCTCTAATTTCCTTCATATATTCAAATCAGTATCAAATTTAATAAATTGGAGGCCAGCAAAATACCAATAACACAATTTATCCATTAAAATTTGTATTTTGGCCCAAAATTTTTTTTTTTGCAATATACAATATCCATTTTTTGCCAACAATATACAATATCCATTTAGTTATATTTACAACAATTACTTCATAACTTTTTGTTAGAATATTTACTTAAAAAGTTATTATTAATTTAAAAATTTAACGCAAAATTTTACAAGTATCTATATATCAATGCATATAATATATATATATATATATAAGTTATATGGAAAGATTTTTGTAGTCAGTTCTAAAGTTATTCACTACTATAAGGTGAATATCCTAAACTCAATAAATATATATGTGTGTGTATAGGTCCTAACTTAGAAATGATGTGGTTTGTTTTATATTTGGGAAAATGGCAAAAAAAAAAACCGCCAAAACAGAAAAATGACACACAAGGACTGGTTTACAAAAATGGTTGTCAAAACTAATATTATTAATGTTATCACGAGTCTTTATTTGTAATTTTTCTATTTCGGAGGTGTTTTTTTGTCATTTCTTTTATATTTTGTGTAGAGCTCAAGCCCATAATCTAATCATTATTAAATTATTTGAAAGTACAATTTTAACCGTGTTAATAATATTTAAATTTTATTATTATATAATCTCAACTTGAAAAACAATTTTTCATTATTGATAAAAGGGATAATGAAACTTTGGATCTATTACATATGTTGGAAAACCATTTTGAAGATACTTACGCTTCTTTTCAATTTTTATTAATACAATACATATATTTTTTCTTTTAATTAAATATTTAATTTTGTTCTATTAGTATTTTCAACTTCCTTCAAAATGGTTTTGCCAAATGCGTCTCAGCTATCAATTTGATTCATAAAGTTTTAATTTTTATGACTCAAAGCCTTAAAGTTTTATATATAATTTTATATTATTATTTGATCTTAAGAGTTTGCCATGCTTAAGTTTTTTAACAAAAGAATGCATTTTACTAATGGAATCACCATATGCCTATTTAAGATTATATGTCTTCCAACGAACCATAAAGACTTGACTAATAAAAATTAAATTTCAAGGGTTAAATTAACAATTGAGGCAGACTTCAAGGATAAAAAAGGTTTTATTATCCTCGCTGAAATTTCAACATAATTTTTATTATTTTTAGTTAAATTATGAACTTTGAATATCTACATCAAAGTATTTTCTGACGAAAGATTAGAATAAAATGAAAGAAACTGGTGTGCCCAACATTCTAAAGTATTTTATCATATGCGTCCAGCACTTTAAAATATTTTATAAAGTGCATCGAGTACCTTTAAAATATTTTGCAGTACAATTTTACTACTAAAGTATTAATTTTTTTCAGAAGCAATTATGTTTTTAAAGTATCATTTCATAAACAATTTTAATTTTGTCATTAGCTCCTCAGAAGGTTCTTTAAATGAATATATATCAAATACTATAAAAGATTTTTTCAGTAGGTTTTAAGGTGTTAGATGACGTGAAAAAATAATTCAAGGTATCGGATGAACTACAAAATATTTTAGAATATTCAATGTATTTGAAAAATATTTTAATGTACAAGTACAAAATACTTTAAGATAAGATGTTAGGCACGTTTAACCCTGAAAAAGAACAAAAGATAAAAACTGAACCATGCCCCTAGTCTAGTCAT